TGGATATTATTTGAAGACCTAATCTAATATTTTCCGTTGTTATAATACCGTCAACAAAAAGATAAGATACAAGAATATGAAAGGAAATGTTAATTTCCTTAATATTGTAAACATTAAGATGTTTTCAACACATTTTGTATAAAATTATATTTTCCACATTAAAATGAAGGTTCCATGTGAATGAATGAAATAAAACATGTTAATAACTTAAAATAAAAACATAAAACAAAGATTAATATATAAATTTAAAAAAAAAAACAGTTCACAAATTAAAAATAATCTTATTTATTATTAACTCCTTTTTTTAAGTGGAAAATAATAAATAATATGGAATTTAAAATGAGCATGTATTAAGATAACATAAACTGAAATTCATTAACAGTCATTACCTAGTTTGTTGATTTAAAATTTGTTTTTATACCTAATTCTGTTTCTATAAAAACGGATCATTATGCCTTATTTCTGTTAGAATATTTTCAATAATTATATTTTTTTAAACATTAAGAATGCATATTATCAAAACTAATAGTGCAGCTGAGCTTTAGGTGGACGTTTATAAACAAAATAGTTTCTCTTTATTTACGCATTTTAAATAATCGATAATCTATAATATTAAAATTTATATAGAGTGGTTTTCACATTTAAAAAAATTAATTTAAAGTCTTACTACAATTAAAATATTATTTTCTTATATAAAATACAAATATATATATATACGCTTTAGTAAATTAAGTTAAATATAATAAATAAATAAGCCATATTTATAATATAACATATTTTTAAAAATCACTTTTTGTTTATAATAAAGAATTGTACATTAAATTCAAATATTCTTATAAAATTTCTGTATCACTGTTCAGACAATTTAAAAAAAACTATTGGATTTAATTTTAGATCAAAGATAATTATTTTTAAAATTAGGATTTAATTCTAATTCTGACATTTTTACTGTCCTAAAATTTAAATATTTAATAACAATTTAATAAATTGATTCGGTTATCTCCGACCATGTTTCTGTTTTGTTTTAAATCATGGATTATGCTATTTTTCAAATTAATTGGATAACTTAATGTTTTATGTAATTATTACATTCTAATTACTTAATAATCTATATTTCACATTTCGAATGATAAAAATATGCAACTTATTCAAGTACTTTACTCCAGGACTAGACAAACAATTTCTTTGAAATTTGTTTAAAACAATGATTCTTTTTAAAAGTAAATATATACAGTTAATCTAGTTGAATAAAAGATTGAAAACATTTTTATTATACTAGAATCAAACCTTAATATTTTCTGTTTTAATCGGGTAAAGTTATGAGTAAGTTTTAACAACATAAGCGCACAACATAAAATTTATATGGATAAATTATAATATTTTTTTATTAATAATTGATTCGGAAAAGATTAACATCCTTCAGTTCTAGTCGATGATTTCGAATTTCAGAACTGGTCAAGGTATGGAAAGAATCTGACACCTCTTGAATTGGAGGGAAAATTATAGGAGCGCCTTTTCAAGAAATAGCTCTCGGGAAGTCTTGGATTTGTTCAAAGCCTAACTAACCAAAGTTATAAGCTTTATTAATCATTTTTCTGAAATTATTATTTATAAATGTTAATGTTCCTCCTTTATTTTAATAAATAGGTAACGCATCATGTCAGGGGCCATTTTAAAGCAATGAAACTTGAACGCTCACTAGAAATATTTGGAATAGACAATGGGAAAATAGAATTACAAATTATTATTAAATATAAAATTTCAATATCAATAAATTACATTGAATGTTCATTTTATATTTCTAAAGTATTTTTTTTTTAACTTTTAGATATTTATAATTACTAAAATGTAAAAATAAATTTAAAATATCATCACTGAATTTTTCTTAAAATATATATTTAAAAAAAAACATATAAACAGCCAAGTTGCTACATCATACATCATTGATTTTTCATTTTGGTATTGATATTTTATTCACATTCTATTGGAGTAAAAATTAATATTATAAGTTATTTTTTGATGGACTATATTTTTTCAGGAACACGATATAAAAATAGTTAGTAAAAACATCAGCTTTTTATCATTTTTAATATTGAAAAATTATAAATTTTTTTTTACTGACGGTGAGATGATATAAAATTAAAATAAATAACTGTTTTTATTTTTAAATAATTAAAAATCATACAAAACTTAGAAAATACAGCTTTTACTTCTTCTTATCGAAAAATTTCTTGATATCTATACTGACTTATTAAAATTATATGAACCGGACAAAGGATTCAATCTAATTCATGGATTCTATAATTAATAAAATTTATTAATAATTAATTAATATCTATTCTATTTTCTCATATACAATAGCAGTTTCTTTTAAATGTTATCTTCAGGACAATTTATTTCAATGCCCATAAAATTTTATAGCAAATTAATGATTCGAATGTTAAATGCTGGATGAAATAATATGTAACAAAAAGGAACTGAAAATTGAATACATGCAAAAGAATATCATTGTTTGAAATATGTTGAATAAAATTCATATTCATAAAAAATGTAATATTTCTAATAATAATCCATCGGCTATTTTGTTTTGGAAACATTATTAGTTGAATAAAAAATCTTATTTTTTTTATCAGAGGTGAATTTATTGAAATGACATTGTTGTAATAGAAAGAGCATTACAACAACAATTTATGAACAATTTTGAAATTATTTGGGTGAGTTATTTATATTTTTAATCCGAATGACTACATTTGTCAATTCTATCTAGTCTAAAATATAATACTAAACTATAAATAAAGAATGTAAAATTAAAAACGCTAATAGACTTGCCTAAACATGCTTTTATAACATAAACTTTTTATTTAAACTTAAACCAAATAATTTTTATTATTTTATTTTGTATTTATTTAATTTTCAGTTATATAATACATATTTCAAAATATTTTATTAATTGGCGAGTAGAATTAAAATTAACTGTAGTTATTTTATTTAATTTTTTCAACATAACAAAAATGAAAATGTTTCTGTAATCAGTGTTATAATTATGAATTGAACTCAATTTATATACCAATATTACCTAATAATATATAAATGTTAAATAAGTGATAATTGAAAAAAAAATTATAACCCTTATAAATTTGCTTATAAAACCTAAATTATAACTTAATATTATTTTAGTTCAGAAATTAATGTTATCCGAGCATTGGGTTCAGGTGCTAATATTGTTCTGACCGGCTTGTACCATCCCCAAGATTTTGGCGCCAAATAATATTTCACTTTTGAAATATGCGCTTTTTATTTTATAAATTATAATAATTTGATATAAGTTCATTATACAATTTAAATAAATAAAATAAGCGTTTAATTTAACTTCTGCGCCAGTATAATTTTAATTGAAACTAGAATAATCTGCACACATTTTGAAACTAAAAACTAAGGTTAATTATATAAGACGATTATAAATTTTTATTATGATAAGAGGACCGTCCTCGAACTGGATTCAGACCAATAAATAAAATAAGAACATTTACAAAAGATTAATATAATTATAACCATTGAACTTTTATGCCGTCTTTGATAAGGTTTTGAGTATAAATATGAATTTTTACAATATTTAAGCAGATCTTTATAACATGATAAAAAAAAAAAAAAGTTTATATAAAATTTTTATAGCAAATAGGGCAGAGTTGTTTTTATAAACCAGTTACGCAATATCACAACTAACTCTGTAGTTGCACAATAGACATAATTATTTGCTGATGGCAATGCTATTTATATATTAAAAGTGCAACAGTAAACAAATTATTGTCCTCTTAATAACCTACATAATTCAAATGAATAAGTATTATTTAAAATATTTTAATGGATAATAAAAACCGATATTATCTCTATTTTTATTTTTCATTTTTAACTGTTGTAATAATTCGAGCTAATTAATATTAATGTAGCGTATAGGGGCCTAGGTCGATTTCTATTTATGTTTTATTTATAGTTTATAATAAATATGCATGATTGGATATTATAAAAATAATAATGGGCCTATATGAATTATAAATGAGGCAAAAGTGACGTTATAGTAATTGTTCGATAAGTGTTCGGGATATTGATAGAAAAAAAAATAAAGAAATAAAGTTAACGGTACTATTTATAGGTTAAGTAGGGTAAGTTTATTTTTGTCAAGGCGTTATGTAAGTTTATGGAAAAGTGGAACAGATTAGGATGAAGCCTGCTATTATTTGCATAACAGTCCTGGGGTTCGGATAACTTTGACCGAAGGGGGGGAGGCATTTTTAAACCCCCTTCCGGTTTCTTTTCTTATCATAATCTATTTTTATATCATTTTATTTTAATCCGCTAAGTTTTAATTTCATTTTATTTTTGTAATATCTTTTTATTCGAACAACTATTATCTTAAACTATTTGTTTCAAAGTAAACATTTTTCTATGGTGTAAAATAAAAAAAATATTTGATACTCATTCAACACACTGGTAAATCTACTGTAATAATATTTTTATCAATTAAACATCTTTAATTTAAAAGATAAATAATTTTTTTTTAAATTTAAGTACATTTTTGTCACTGATTGATAAATTAAAACATAACGGCTTAATTAAAAAATAAGGTTCATTCCAATTCACATATTTATTTCGTAAACAGAATTATGAGCCGAAAATAAATTTCAAAATTATATTTAAAACATGCCTCAGTTTTTAATTTTAAAAAATAAATTAATCAATTTTAAATATACTATTAATAATTAATTTCTGTTCACGAAGTTTAAGACAAAATTGACAAAAATTAAAGTTGCTCATCTGGTTTTATATATGTAAATAGTTTGCCGATTGATTCAATTATTGCTGATTTTTTGGTATTATTATTCAATTTTTTTTGTTTACGTTAACAGATAAATTATAAGTGTTAATAGATAAGAGATGAACTAAGAGTGGACATAAACAGAGGGAAGAGCTTATGACAGGTAGTTGGAGCGGGTAATAGGACTCTAATAGGCTGAGGCCACCCTCGGCTCTGGCGTTGGAGTCACCTTCCACTTCTTCGGCCGGCGGTCTCTTTCCCGCCTCGACATCTTCCCCGCCACCTCGCGTCCGGGCTAAAATTATAAATAGCAAGCTACAAAGACCTTCTTAAATATCCTTACGGGACAGAAAAGTATACTTTAAGAACGTTAAAGATGGGAAAATAAAATAAATCATTCCCTTATCTGCTTAATTATACAGTGGAAGAAAAAATAAATAAAAGTATATTTATAGCATACCCCTACTCCTAGATGAAAAAAAAGATAAACGAAAAATATCTTAAACTCATTATTCTGTTCAAATTATATCAATTATAATTTCAGTATTTTTAAAACATACATTTATTACCCATAAACTTGATAGAATTTTAAATACAGGGGAAGCCTATTAAATTAAAAATAAAGATATCGAAAAGAAGATTTTAAGAAGATTTCTAAATGTGTTTAAATACTAAACGATTGATTTGTCTATATCTGTTTTATTTTATTAAGTGATCCCAAATATTAACTATGAGTACATGGTTAGGGAAACTTACTTCGTCAGACCATGAGTTACGATGAATAAAAATGTTGAAAAATAACTACGTCTCGATTTTTGTATCCTTTTTGATTGAGAACAACTTAAGGAACTTTTCTAAGATTTTAAAGGTTTCTGAGGCATTTTCAAAAGATCCGAACGTCTTTAAAAGGTTCGACTACACTCCAGAGATGAGTTAGAATCTATATTTTATATATAAAAAGATAAAAGTATACAAAAGTGCATAAAGAAGCGGGAAAGAGTAGAAAGATGCAACTATATAGAGACGTGAACGGTGGGTTCGGACTTACCCTCTCTTCCTCGCGGATCATCTCTGCGATGCCCGGCTTGATTTCCATGTCTTCCGGCTGTGCCTGCTGTACAGGGGGTGGTGGAGGCGGTGGTCCGAGCGGCAGGGGGACTACGCCCTGCTGGTTCTGGGGCGGCGGAGGCTGCGGTGTCGGCGGCGAAGTCGTCACCAGCTCGAGGGCCCTCGTTTCCAGCGGCTCACTGTCCTCTGGGCTGCAGGGCTCCGTCGAGTTCCTCCTCCTCTTCTTTCTTGACAGAGAGACGTCTTCTAACCCCTTCCCGAGATCTTGTTCACCATTCACGTCCGCCAAGCCGCGGATCTTCAACGATTCGGCCACTTTCAAAAGCGGACCTATCTGCTCTTGAGACACATTTATCTCACCTTTATACATGAATTCCACAACTGCTTTCAACTCAGGCCACTTGATGTCTTTGAGGATGACGATCGGATGCTGGCACGGGTTGTCGAAAAAGAGGCTCTGGAAGTAGGGGCTGCATGCTGACAGTACCATCTTGTGAGCCTTGACGGAGTGCCCTTCGCATGCAAGAGTGACATCGACGAAACTCTCGCTCTGAAGAAGCTGGTCGAAGACATTGGTGAGGTTGCTTTGATAGTTGTTCCACCTGAGGCAAAACTGCTGAGGGGAGGGCGGAGCCCCTGATCCCCCTCCTGAACCGGGATGCATCGGGCCAGACAGACTGACTGGTGTGACGACGAACTTACGAATGTTAGACCGGCGAGGAGCCTGACCTTCCCGTACAACGCCGCGGACTGGAGTGATCGCTTGGACACTCCCCCTTACCCCCACCACCGCCAATCCCCACCCTCACCCTCCCCGCCCCCTCCCCCTCCTTTATTTATATAAAATGTACATGTAATATGGGGGTGTCAAATGAGAGCATTTCTAGTATGCATAATCTATGTCCTTGACATCTTCTATTGGTTAATTTAAAACTTAGATGTTTTTATTTCAATTTATATATATATAAAAAAAAAAATTCAAACTCAACAAAATAAATTCTGATTTTTAAATTACGATACTTAATACATTACAATCTTTAACTACTGAAAAAACAAAATTTATATAATAAATTATAAAATTTTAAATCTTTTACTATGAATTTTGAAGAAAACGTATTAAGTGTATCAGAATCCAATGATAGTTCTAAAAAGCTATTTCATTAATTAATAATTGTCAAAAACTTTAATAAATAATTTATAATTTTAAAATACTTACTCACAAACTAAAATTATCAATTTTTTCCGGCTTGATATAAATTGTGCGACAACATCCTTATAATGTGTTTCCAACAGATACTTATAATGAATTTCAGCAAGATATATGTATAAATTGGTTCTAGGAATTCCCTAACATAACTTATTTCATCAGAAAGTTTGAAATCAGTCATTAAAAGAAAAATTCTATGTAATTTGATGTCAAACCATAACAAACAGATTAAATTGAAAATTGATATATTATCATAGATAAATATGATTTTGTAGTAAGAAATACTCATTACAAAAAGAATAAGATAACTCCACATTGTGTCAGAAAGATTTCTGGTACTGAACAGTTGTTTTGCAACCGACCAAATTATTTGGGAAAAAATAGTGAATAAAATATGACGGTTATTTAGAAAATATCTAGACTTTTCATCAAATCAATAGATTAAATATTTTAGCAGTAAATATAACATTTTTAGAAATAATTAAAACACAGCCTGCAATGAAACTTCAAATGGAACATTTTGAATTTCATTATAAACTTCAACTTATTTTTTCGAAAATTCATAACAAGTTTAGTTACTAGATCAAAAAAAAAAAAAAAGATATGGGATTCAAATACGTTTTTATATGTTTCTTTAGTTTGAAATATTAATTTTTAGGTCACTCTGGAAAATCAGAGAACAAAAAAATGGTTGATCTAACATAAAACGGAAGTAATAAACTTATATCAAATTATAAATTAAAATTAAAAATATTGAATAATGAATCGCTTTATATCGTTTTTTACAAAATTTTGTATTGTCAATTGCCGGAACGTCACAATAAACAGACAATAAATGCTAATATTTATTCAATGAATATATCTTAACCAGAATGAGAAAGTAACATTTAGTTTTTACAAAGGAATAAAGTATTTTTAAACAGTATATTATTCAGGAAAATATTAATAAGGTTAAAAAAATAAAGCAAAAAGTTTCTAGTATTGTATGAAGCGCTCTGTCCTTTTGTTAAAATTCAAGGATTTCACATTTTGCAAGTAAAATATAAATTTTATATTAATTTTGTATTCTGTAAGATGATTTTTAATAATGCACCTCCATATTTTTCTAATGTGATGTTTTCATTACTAATTTTCATTCATTTCCGATTCCTATATGCATTAACCACCATTGTTTGTTATTTCATTTGTAATTAATATTATGTATGAAATTATGAGAATTGAAGTGGTGTAATTTAAATGTTCATTTGTTTCTTCAGAATTATAGTGCTGAATTTCTAAATCTTTACACTTTCCGGAAAACAAATTGAATATTGATATGAGATTTAATTAAAGATAATTAAGAACAAAAATTATCTGAAATATATATATTTTATATAAAACTTTAAACGTTTTAAAGCGACTAATACTTAAAACGTCGGCAAATTTAATAAAAATGATTATTGACTATATATTCTCATTATTTTTTATTCTTATTCTTTCAACAGACAATACACCCATTTCAAAATTAAATAGACTTACTTTCTAGTGTACAAGTCAATTAAATTTTTTTTTGTGATATATATAAAAATACTAGTGTTTAGCGGGATGACAATTTTGCTGGTAATTTTATTATACTTTCTATAGTGAAAGTCATCTTAGTTGTTAAAACATTTTTTTGATATTGATTGATTTTTTTAGATTAGCTCATTAAAGTGGTAGTTTATTTATTTCATCAGTTTAACCACTAGATTGTATTTCTCAACTTGAATTTGAATTGTTGAGAATTTGAGATGTACACCATTTTCGTTATGATTGAAAATTGCAGTGAAAAATACGACCAATTTCGCTGGTCAAAAGTTCAATCAGATACCAAAGCCTATTTCCCTAAACATGGCCTTTACTAAATAGCAGAACGGATACCGAATTTTACTTAAGCTCAGAATGCAAGAGGAATAAAATAGGAAAGCAGCGCAAACAGATACTTATTTTCATATAAGTACGGATCAGTTGTGAATCGTTAATTTTCTGCAACTATAAAAAGAAGAATATTCGAAAATTAATTTCACCTTCTCATATAAGTTCATTAGTGAATTTAATAACAAAAAGAAATATTTTTAATGCTTCAAAATTGTCTTCGACGGGGCGGCCACAGAGGTGGCAAACGCATACAAATAGTCTAAGACTAGAATATTATATTACATTATATCATTATTATATAATTATTTACAATTATTTATGGTTACCATATAATGCATCCTACCGCTTTCTTCATATTTCATTGCCACATTGCAGTTCAAAAAATATTACACACACACACACACACACACACGTATACAATTATTATATAAGTCTTGATATTTTACCATTTGATATACTTTGACAATTATACTTCTTATAACAGAAGTCTAGTTCTTTTAGAAAAAAAAAATATATATATAGTAAAATATCAAGACTTATATAATAATATATTTTTATACTTAGTCTAACCTATAGAACATACACCTATAACACCAAGTAAGGGCATAAATATGTATTATTTTTATTTAAAGGTTGCAAAGGATTGTAAAATTTTTCAACCGGTCTCAAATCGTTAAATCTTTTAAAATAAAATTAAAGGCGTTTCGTTTACCGTTAATAATCTTTATTTAAGTTTATTAACGGTAAACGATTAAACGTATCTTATGTTTAATACAATAAACAGTCAACATTTTAGAATTTATATCTCCACAAAAAAAAAAAGAAAAAAAAATGGTTTTCTCTATAAATAATTTTTAGGTGAAATTTTAATGCGCACTGAACAAAATATTCAAGATTTCACTATTTTTTTTTTTTTTTTTATACAATTTATATCTCAAAGTCATTTGAGTTGAAACAGAAATGGCTAAACATATCCGATCATTTGTCGGTAATGGAAAATTTTACTGCTAACAGCTACCACAAATTAAATTAAATACTCTATATTCAACATTGAAAACTTCAAGATATACAACAATTGATTTATTTGTTGATCTACATGTTATGATAAAAGAATAAATAATTATATCCAAAAGACAATAGTATCATCCCCGTTGCAGACACCCAATTATTTGGTCCTAGGAATGCTGGTCCCCCAGATAGAATAACTGCATTTTATTCTATTTCCAAAAATAAATTTCAAAACATGACAAAGGAGCACATCAGACTTAATTATAACGATTTACGTAACAACACAACTTTAACATGTATTGTAACATGCTTTCTTTTATAGCAATGAATCGCTATGAAAATATAGTATATTAACTTTTGAAAATGGGAATAATTTTTCCGAAATTTCAACTTAACAAGTAAATCAACAAATAAATCAATTGTTGTATGTATGGGAGTTTTCATTGCCGAAAATAGAAAATATTATACAGATTCCCAGCAAAAAGAAGAAAAGGAAAAATTATATATTTTAAAAATATGAATAGACAAACTATTATTTAATTTTTATTTATTTACTTTTTGATGGGGGAATATAAATTTCAAACCTTTTTTTATTTGTTCTTGCAAAAAAAAAAATCCTCTAATTTCTATCTGTAACCTGCGATATATTCTTCATCAACTCGAAATTTTTAATAAGTTATGGAATTGTATACAGCTATATAATTCATATTAACCACAGTACGGCTGATATAAGTTTCCTTTATATCGCTATTGTTATTACCACAATATATTTAGGAGAAAAAATCTAATCATATTAATTTATTTCTTAAAATATTAATAAGGTTCAAAAAACGCAATAAAAAGTCTCTAGTTTGTATGAAGCGCCGAGTTCTTAAGTAACAATAATCCTATATATTATTTCTAAAAGCTGTTTTTTTGTCGGTACTCAATAACTTCGTCAATTCTTCATCAAATCCAATGATTGACCACTCATATTGAAGATATTCTTCTCCTTCACATGCGAAAAATAGATCTAACCCCCTTTCTCCTTCCCACGAAATTTCTAGAAACAACTTTATGAAGGAAAAGAAACTTTATTTGCGAATAACTCAAAAAGTAGGCATTTTTCCCCCCATGATAATTATAAATAGTGTTGTTCAAACGCGAGACCGAGACGAGTCTTGGTCTTGCAAACTCAGTCTTGTTCTAGGTCTTGGTCTTGCACAACAGTCTCACGACGGTCTTTCAGCTACCTATTAGCTTAGTACAATAGATATATTACTGTATTTTTTTAGATACGGTAAACCTAACTAAGTCTGAATGAAAAATTATAAGAGTTAAATGCAAAAGTATATTTGTTATACCAATTCTTTACATATAGTATCTAAAATTGTCAAGCATTAGTAACTATTTTACCTTCATTTTTATTCAAAAATCTATTTTTTTTTTTATCAATCTTGGTCTTGGTCTTGCAACTATGAGGCAGTTTTAGTCAATTTTGGGCAACACTATTTATAAAGATTACTAATTTACCTAGAAAAAAAAATCGGACAATTATTAACAAAGATACAGTC